GAAAATACTTGCCAAAGACATCAGTTAAATTTTACAGATTCAGTGATACAAATGAATAAACATTTAACTTATCTGGTCATTTCTTTTTGTGAATTATTACAAAACTGAAATTCGGAAGACTAGCTAGGCCACTTACATCTTCTCTCATAAAGAACTTACTCTACTTACAATTCACCCCAAGGAGACTCATAACTTACCTTCGCTACAAGGACTCTTCTGACAGAGTGTTCTTTATTTCTGTCCCATCCTGAGAAGAAAACCACTCTACTTTTATACAAAGAAAGTACTGATCATTATAGAAAGAGGGTTATCTCAGGTGAGTCACACAGTTCCTCAGATAACTGCTTCAAGTACAAATGGGGACAAGAACTAGACCAGACACCGGAGCACCACACAACTAGATGTACTTTTGTTGGGGTGAAAAGAGTGACGACATAGGGACGCAGATGTGTACACACACTTAGGCCACGGTGTGCGGTTTAAGACGCTGTGGCCCAAGTACACTCGTGTACGTATTGCACGGTTGTAGAAAACTATGGGCACCAAAAGAGGGGGAGGGACATGGGACAACAGAATTAGCCTCGGCTGCAAACAGATGAACTGTATCATGTTAGGACAGGGCTGATCTTATAAAGTGCTGATATATAAACACCATACTTTTATTTTTATTGTGGACGTGGCTGATCTTATAAGGTGATCTTTTTTAATGTTAGGACAGGGCTGATCTTATAAGGTGCAGATATATAAACACCACATTTAAAAAAAAATTGTGGCTGAAGTGTTCTCTTACAAAAATACTTAGGAGTATTCCAAATTCCAATTATTTGTATTTTTATTACATTTATAGCATTACTGTAGTTGAATATGGATATGTATAACCAGTGGTCTGAATGAAAGAACTATTTAACTGTTTCTTTAGAAGTCATTAATAGCTTCGTATTGATTTATATGGCCTCTCAAGACGGTAATTTGGTTGTTACAATCTGTGGGGTATTTTTTCACCTTATTGACACTGTTACTTGTGAAACAGTCAAACCTGTGATGGAAATGATTTCTTGGTTAGGTACAAGGGGACTTCAAAAAGTTTGTAGAAAGGAGGAATGAAAAGATTTTGGAATTTTCTCACCAATTTATTGAAGTCTCTGCATAAACCTCTGAGCTTTGAGCCTCTGAGCTACGAGCTCCCACGGTGGTTGGAAGCTTGGTGATGAGTGATTTGGGGTGGGGGGTGAGGGTGGGATGGGGAGGGGGGAGGCCAGAGAGAAAACAAAGCGGAAAGACCTCAATCTCCTCAGAGTGCACACTCACCGTTGTGCATCTTTCTTCCCTCTCGGATTCTTTTGACATCTACTTTGTTCCTGGCTAAAAATGTGGTGTATCATGACAAGGACGGATTAGAGAACATAATGCTGAGTGAAGTCAATCATTTACAAGAGGATCAACACTGTAAGAGACCGCTACTCTAAGGATGAAAACCATGACAAACACTTGCAGACTGAAGGGAACAGGCTTTGGGGTTTGCCAATGGGGGGAGGGTACAGGAGGGAAATGAAGCGACAGACCAGAGGGTTGACAGGTGTTGACCTTGGTGAAGAGGATGGGGCTCTGGAAGATGGAAAAATTAGAGGGGTGGGATAGAACCCTGGGGGCTGATGAGTGGCTTGAACTGTTGAAGAATATAGAGATGATAGCATGAAATGTAAACTCCTCTATGTAACTCACCATTTTAAAAAAATCATAAGTAAAAACACAAAGAATTTTCACCAAAGGTTTTGAAGTCCCTGCAAGTGTACAGTAGTTGGGATTGGGGCTGGCCTCTACTTTAAAGAGGTTTTATGCATATGATTTACCTACTGCAACACATCTTTTTATCTCGTCTGCTGCTTCCATGAGCATTGATTGTAGAATGTAAATACCAATTAAGTAGAGTGAGAGGATACATCTGTCACCCATCTTTCCTGATTTTAAACCATGAAGTATTCCCTTGTTCGGTTCAGCCAATGGCCTTTTGACCCATGCAAAAGTTTAGCATGGGCACATGATATGCTCTGGAGTTCCCATTCATCTCAAGCCGATCTGCAGTTTATGAGCCATAGTCAAATGCCTGGGTGTAGTCAGTAAAGCACATGTAAATATCTTTCTGATATCTGTTATGAGCCAAGATCCATCGACACCAGCGATGATATCCCTTGCTCCATTGCTCTCTTCTGAATCCTGCCTGGACCTCTGGCAGCTCCCTGTCAAGGTATGGCTGCAACCATTGTTGAAAGATGTTAAGTAAAAGTTTACCAGCATGTGCTATCAGCGACATAGTTGGAGCATTCTGTTAGGCCACCTTTCTTTGGAATGGATCCAAATAAGGATCTTTTCCAGTCTGTTGGCCAAGTAGCTGTCTCCCAGATTTTCTAGCAAACCTGAGTGAGTGTTCTAGCGCTTCATCAGCTTGTTGACATATTTCAATTGGTATCCTATCAATTCCTGGAGTCTTGCTTATGGCTGATGTTTTCAATGCAGCTTGAACTTCTTCCTTGGGCACCATTTGTCTCCCCCAAATATGTTAGGTTTAGGACACTGCTTGCAGCTAATGGTAAATGTTACTTCCCTTGAGGCAATCAATCACCAGATTATGGTAGGCCCCACTCCCTGCTCTTAAGGACAATGGGTTACTCCTCCCTGAAGGCCTACAGTCATGATTTGGTTCCTGTAGATGGGAGTTTACACCCTACTGATAATGGTGCCAGGGAACAGGTCAAAAACTGGCTCAGTTAAGCTGCCATTCTGAATCTAGGATCCGCCCATCTTGCCACATGTATACCCCCTATCCCTCTCTTCCTATTGCATGGATACCCCTAGGTCACCCCTCTCCCATTACTGCATTACCTATAGCACAACCCCTTCCTGTGACATTATGTCTTCACCTGTAATTAGTGGGCTTGCATGTCCCCAGAGAATATAAAAGCCTTGGTTAGCATTAAATCTCTCTCTCTCCAGGTGGACCACCAAGCGAGGCTGAGGTGAGCATGCTACCACGAAATGTGTCTGACTCCATTATTTCAATCTCTCTTTTATCTCTCATGCTCTCTATGACTTTACTATAATTTTTTCTTTTTTACGTTCCCCGGAGCCCAACCTGGCGACTTTACTATAATCTTTACTTATTATCGCTGTATAATTGTGCCTACCAGACCCATGATGATGTGTTAGGGCAGGTACCCTGGTCCTCCTAATGCTTCATCAGCTTGTTGAAATATTTCAGTTGGTATTCCATCAATTCCTGGAGTCTTGCTTTTGGCTAATGTTTTCAATGCAGCTTGAACTTCTTCCTTCCACACCATTGGTTCTTACTCATATGCCACCTCCTGAAATGCCGGAATGTCAACTAATTCTTTTTGCTGCAGTGGCTGTGTCTTCTCTCCATCTTCTTTGGATGCTTCCTGCATCATTCAATATTTTGCACATAGAATCTTTCAATATTGCAACTGGAAGCTTGAATTTTTTCTTGAGTTCTTTCAGTTTAATGTGCTGGGTGTGGTCATCATTTTGGTTTTCTAATTCTAGGTCTTTGCACATTTCATTGTAGTATTTGGCTTGAATAGCTGTCTGAAAATTTCTTTTCAGCTCTTTGACTTCATCCTTTCTTCCACATGCTTTAGTCTGCAGTTAAGAGCAAGCTTCAGAATCTCTTCTGACATCAACTTTGATCTTTTCTTCCGTTTTTTTTCCTTCCAAATATTTTGCTTTCTTCATGTTCTTGATGTCCTGCCACAGCTCATCAGGTATCTTCTGTCATTAGTGTTCAATGCAGCAAATCTGTTTTTCAGATGTTCTCGAACTTCAGGTGGCATACTCAAGGTCGAATTTTGGCTCTCAAGGATTTGTTTTAATTTTCATCAGCCTTATCCTGAATTTACATATGAACAATAGATGGTCTGTTCCACAGTCAGCCCTGGCCTGGTTTTAGCTGCTGATCTTGAGCTTCTCCAGCGTCTCTTCTCACAGATGTAGTCAATGTGATATGTATGTATTCCATCTGGAATACATAGTGTATAGTCCATGTGTACAGTCACCTTTTGTGTTGTTGGAAAAAGGCGTATGCTTTGAACAAGTCGTTGGTTTGGGGAAATTCTATCATGCTATCTCCAGCTTCATTTCTATAACCAAGATAATTATTTTTCAACTACTGTTCCTTCCTCTTTATTTCCAGTTCTTGCATTCTGATAGCCAGTAGTTATCAATGCATTTTGATTGCATGTTTGACCAATTTCTGACTGAAATCATTGGTAGAATTCTTCCAATTCCTCATCACTGGCTTTTATGGTTGATACATCCATTTGAATAATAGTTGTATTGATTGGATTTCCTTGAAGATAGAGAGATATAATCCTATCACAGACAGCATTACACTTCAGGGTTGATTTTGTGATGTCCTTTTTGACAAGGAATGCCATGCCTTTCCTCTTGTGTTATTCCTGGCATAGTACATTATGATTTTCTGCTTAAAAATGGCCAATACCAGTCCTTTCACAAGGGTTGGCTGACTCATAACAATAGCAAAATTACAGTTATGAAGTAGCAACGAACATAATTTTATGGTTGGGGGTCACCACCACATGAGGAACTGTATGAAAGAGTGGCAGCAGTAGGAAGGTTGAGAACCACTGGCCTAGAATATGTCTTTATGTGTCCCATTCTTGTTATCTGTTGTCGTTGTCTGGTCTTAGTCTGAAAGCTCTGCTGAAACCTGTTCCCTCTGGGTGACCTTGGCTGGCATTTGAAATACTTGGGACATAGGCTCCAGGATAAAAGCAACACACAAGCCACCACAGTGTGGGAAACTGACACACATGTTGTAAGGAAAGAAGAAAAAGGGAAAACCAATTAAGGAAAGATTAAACTTAACTTTTTTTTTAAGCCATACTGCTGGTAGGTATATACAAAGGCTGCACGAAATGGGGAGGTACAGTATGAACAATGAATTAAAAAAGACATGAGACTTTTAACAAGATTGCTTCAATATTTTACTTCTGTTAACGTTGTACATAATGAAGATTTCCTTGGCTTGTGCAAACAGTTTTGTAGCAGTGAGTGAGTAGGCAGAGCTAGGAGAGTTAACATGCAACATAATCTTGAAAGTCCCGGAGAAGTGTTTGAACTGCAACGTCACTTTTTGTGTTTAAACCAAGTAAGTTGACAAGAGCAAATTTTGAATAGAAAACGGTATCTGGTTCTTTCATATTCCAAATGTCAAACTGCTCTGGTAGGAAATTCCATTTTTCTATATCTTTGTAGATGAGGGGAGTAGGTAGCAGCACATGAACTGCAAAATGTCGCTAGTGAACCACCAGTAATGTCCATTTAAGAAGATATTTTTTCCACAAGAAAAGAAATCAATGATCAAATGAATTTAACATGATTATGGTAAAATATAATATGATAAATTTTCATTTTACAGTTTAGCACAATATATTAAGAAATTTTCAAACATTAAACAATAGAACACCAATATCCACTAAACCCTAGTCGCACAACAGTAATATTTCTAAAACAAACAAAAAACAATAGTAATATTCCTAAAGCTAAGGTAATAATTAATATCATGACAATCTAATTCCCATATGAATGCTGTAACCACATACCCTACTGTGGAAGCTGGTCCAGGGATTCCCCACGATTCATAAGTATCTCAGAGTTAACTCATGCCGAATCCCACAGTTTCTTACTGAGCACGTTTTCATTTTTGAAAGCACAGGCATAAACTTGTCACAATTTTGAAAAGAATGGAAGACCTTCATACATGTCAGATTTCAGTTTTATCCAATCGTTAATTTTCTGTAGAGTTGTTTTTTCTCGACTTAATATTTTTGCAGCTTTTCTCATTTTTTCTTCATTTCTTTCTATGTACTTCAAGCCCTCCAACTGCAGCTGATCCAGCTTTTCGTTCCGACTTTCATCTAGAGGTATGTTTTCACACATGACAGGGTTGAACCGAAAGTAAGTGTCAGAAGGTAAAAGACCATCAAGCATTATATGGACTTCTGTTAACACAAAAAGAGGGGGTGGGAAGATAAGAAAATCGAGTTATTCAGTATTGATACGTTAATTTTTATCTTTATGGAGGTTACAAAGCCATGATTATTTCACCACTCAAACGAGTAAACAGTAATGAGTAAGGAATCCATCATAAGGAATATCACTAGAAACCATTTCACATCATTTTGCTCCATCAGGATGTTTGCATCTGGACTCTGCCCTCCGTGGTTTGATCATACTCTGTGTACGACTGATGTGGCTCAACTTTTCTTACATTGCTTTTAATTGGTGTGTGTGTGTGTGTGTGTGTGTGTGTGTGTGTGTGCAAAGAATCAATTTTATTTAGATGAAATTTACATTTTTTAACAGATTTAATTCACACATCATACATTTCAATAGTTCAATTATATTCAAAAGAGGCTTGTAGTCATCATAATAAGCTTCAGGACAGTTCTTCTCGTTTGTTCTCATTTTCAGTTCCCCACTACCACCAACTTCCCCTGTCATGCCCCCTAGGAAACTATTAATCCAGTTGCTGCCTCTATAGATTTTATCTATCCTGGATTTGGATGATAGAGAAAGCTCAGAATTCATTTGCAGGTTCCCCCATGTGGATTAAGCCTCTGCTGAACCCTATGACTGTGGACCAGGAATGGGAATTGCCATGTTATCAGACAGAGTTGCACTGTACGGTGGATCACTGCAGTCTGTCGTTAGGTTAAAATGTGACATCTTGCCACTGATTGTTTTTGATCCAATGCATATTTGTTCTAGTTTTTAATACTTTCTGCTTTCTTTTCTATTGAAATTGACACATTTAAAAAAGTCATCACTTTGAGTATATAATTTGCTAGTATACATGTGAGTTGCTGTCAGAGTGTTCTGACTCAAAGTGAATCCGTGAGTCAAATACAATAGATTTTTGTTTGTTGACTTTGCATTCATCAACCTTGCTAAACTTTTTAAGTAGCTTTATTTAAAAATTTTAAATTCCTTAGGGTTGCCTACATAAAGTTACATTTTTGTCTATAAGTAAAGTTCTTCTTCCTTTCTAATTGATATGTCTTTAATTTACTTTTACTGCTTTTCTGCATGAAAAGACTTTCAGCACAATTTTGTTTGAAGTGGTGAGAGCAGATACATTACTCTCTTTCTATTCTAGGTGGAAATCATTCATGATGTTAACTCAGGCTGGTTCTGTAGATGCTCTTTGGTGTTTATTTCTAAATGTTAAACCAATCCCCTAATGGTAGACGAGTCCTCCTTAGTCATGCTGTACTGTCATTTTTATTGGCTGCTATATTTAATTTATTAATATTTCTGCAAGTATATTAATGATGGAATCATAGTCATCTTCCGAGTCTTATAATAAGCTGGCCTTATAGAAGTAGTGTTTTCTGGAAGTGTATGTGTAGAAGTCATACTATTTTCCTACGTATTTGATATAATTCACCAGTAAAGCCATCTATACTGGTAGTTTTCTGGCAGTCAAAGTTTTTAAACTCATATTCTTTAAATTCAATTCTTTTAATTGGTGCAGGCCAATTCAGAGTAACTATTTCTTAGATATTTTAAGCACCAGCAGTTAATGTTTTTTAAGGAGTTTGACCACTTCATTTGCAGAAAGCAGCAGCCAGGGGAGATTTTGACTAAAGTAAAATGAATAAACTAAACCATGTCTCTGTTGTGTTTGACAAAGTTAAAACAAAATCAGCAAAAGTACATGAACTCGGAGACCCGACTATTGTCTAATGCTGTGTGACTACAAAAGCGTTTCTTTCTCTCCCCCTCTAGTCAGGATGTGGAAGAGTGGTTTCTTATTTCTGCCTTCCTTTGGTTTTTGAAAAACTATTTGAACATTTATCCATTTTATCTCCATTATTGGCTTATTAGTGCTATTGCTCTGACCCCTTTTATTTATAAGCTCTTATAAAAAATATAATATGTATGTTTAACTTATCACAATCTCCCTTCAAATAAAATAATATACTTCTAAAACCTACCCTCACTGGTGATATAGTGGTCATATCTAGGGATGGTAATTGCAAGGTCAACAGTTCGAAACCACCAGGCACTCCAAGAGCTGGAGATAGGGCTGTCTACTCCCATAAAGAGTTTCAGTCTTGGAAACGCATGGGACAGTTGAACCTTGTCCTATGGGGTCACTAGGAGTCATCAGGGAGGCCAGGGCAGTGGGCATTCCGACCCTCATCCTCTGGGCTATCACTGTCATGCCTTTCACCACACCTCATAAACAACGCAATGTACTATCACTCCTGGGTTAAGAAGCGGTTGTTCCTTTACAGTGAAGAGGTGACATTAACCAGGAAGAAGTAAGGGAGTAGAATCCACCATGGACTGGAGGCGGGCCTTACAGGTGAAGGGCACAGCACTGCAGAGGCCTGGTAATAGATGAGTGCTTAGGAAGTTTGAGGAGCGGCAAGAATGAAAGCATGGCTAGACGCTGTCCATGAGGGTTTGGGATTTTCTTCAAAGGTTGATGGCAAACATACATAGCTTGGAGAAGGGGATGGGCATGGTCTAATTTACACTTTAACAAGTTCTTTCGCCTTTGCATGGAGACGAGACTATAGGGGAGCAAAGTGGAAGGAAAGATTGATTTCAGCTTGCTTCCAGCTGACTAATCTCTTTTCATAAGCGCGCCAAGTCTCTGATACCACGTGTGTGTCCAAACCAACATGACTCCTTCCCTTGGGCTTCCCTGTGTCTGTCTGAAGAGTCCCCACGCCACTCTGCTGGCTCCTCCTTCCCACTCTGGGCCAGCTGTACGGAGGCACCGGCAGCACCGGCGCCCAGGGGGAGAGCAGCGTCTGGTCTGGCTTTCTTTGACAAGAAATGGGAGAGATCCAGGAAAACAAGGAAAGACATGCCCCTGCGAGTTTCCTCAATCCCAGAACACACATGGCATGCGCTCTTTTGAAGTGAGGAGCAGCGCCTGTGCCCAGGAGTGACTCTAGCAACCGAAGGGCTTTCGGGAATCAAACATGCAGACGAACCTTCTGTGTCTGTTGCACTGTTGATGACATGCGCAAGTTTGGTTTTCAAGCTTGTGTGCATCGTCGTGTTTTTCACGTCACTCTCATAGCGTCCGGTGCCCAAGGACACTATGCACTCTAATGGGACGTCCGGCCAAAGACATTTGCACTCATGCATTGCTAAGGCTGAAGGGTTGTTCAGCAGCAAGCCTCCATCCTGCCAAACACAAGTTGAAAATACATGGTACACGTAAATTCTTGTCATGGAATTATATTTGCAAGCATGAAAACAAATATTATATTTTAAACAATTTTAAATTCACACAAAGTTGAATTGTGTGATGTACTGAACACTTAATTAGTTAAAAACAAGAGACTCTGCTAAAGTGAATTTATTTTATACAGTACAGTTGCAATAAAGTCACATGAAACTCAGTGGCCTGATGAGTTAACTACCTTATAAACCTTTCCTTGTCCACTATCAGAGCTCTTTGATTGCTTTTGGATTACTTTTATATTTTGCTCTAAATTACTGAAATGAACTGAAGGTACCATTAACAATTTCAATCAGCATGCTACTAAAACATTCTTATGGAACATGAAGGCGAAACACATCTCATCTTTTCATGAATTATGCTGTTTATTTGTTTTGTTTTTCGTAGTAGCGTGAAGGGGGAAATATTTATTTTACAAATGATGACATCTCTTGATTTTAGCATTGCCAAGGCACTGTCCTCAAAACCAAGTATCTCAAATAATACTCTGGCTTGATCAGTGACAGCACATTATACTGGATAATAACAGTCCCACATATGAACTAACCAACTCCCCAGAGAAAATTAATTGGCTCTTTCGTTATGGAACAGCCACTCGGAGGCTAATGGTCCGTCCGGGTGGCATATGCCACTCATCATCACTGTGCGGCACTGTGATCCCCGGGGCTCACAGGAAACCACAGCGCTCTTTGGACTCTCAGAAGAGCTATATGGTCACATCACTTCATTCTCAGCTCTATTCTCCATGTTACGGACCCTGGGTGCATAGTGGGTCACACCTTGGTATGCTAAACTCAAGGTCAGTAGATCTAAACCATTAGCTGCTCTGTATGAGAAAGATGAGGCTTTCTACTCCGGTAAAGATTTACAGTCTCGGAAACCCACAGGGGCATTTTGACTCTCTCTGTTAGGGTTGCCTCTGTTTTGTGAGGTGGAGGACTTTGTGGACTGGTGTTGGGTTAATGGGTTAATGTTGGACTTGTGGGCTTGGGCAGCATTGGGTTGGGATGTTTTCCTGATGCACATTTTCTTTCCATAAAACTCTCTCTTATACATGAGTTGCTGTGGATTTGTTTCTCCAAAGTACCCAGACTAATACAGTACACCTTAGTAATGCAGCCAAATGCTTACGTAGCACAACTGAGCAGACCCACCCAAGAAAAGAACCCTAAAACAAACATACAAATTACAACCAAGACTGTGAGGAGTGGGGCTTCTGATACCAAGTGGGGTGCTTGCGTTTATTCATTAAAGACTTAATGACCATCTGCTCTTTGCCAGGCTCAAAAGTCTGAAAGCCACCCAGTGGCATTCTGTCTCCTTGACAATTTCCTAGGACATGCAATACATCTGTAAATACTGTAATAATATTCTCCTCTTTAGAATCAAAGGCAAATTATATCTCATCCACCTACTCCTTCCTCTTAATTAGAGGACTACTTTCAATAACTGCTCAAATTGACTATCAATCTATAATTTATACTCCAATTCACTCCAAAATGGATATGAAGTATGTTACATTAAAACATCTGTCAGTCATCACAGGTAATATTTTAAAACTAAAACTGGGGCTAATTAAATGTAATTACTCAAAGAATTTAGAATGAAAGAGTTTCAATAAGTGTCAAATTTTAGTTTCAGTTTTAAGCTTTATAGCAACTTGTGACGGCTTGGAAAGACGTTGGTACATTGCTTGAATGTTTTATTTCTTAACTCCATCAAGACCGTTCATATCTTAGAATATTCTCAATTAATGTCTGCTTTTTGAGGAAAAGAAAAGTTCACAAAGCGCACATGGAAGAAGCACACCAGCACACTCACTCGCTCTCTCACTCACTTACTCACTCTCTTACTCACTCACTCACTCACTCACTC